GGCGAGATTTTTCTTGATCTCCAAGCTCTCCAAGCTCTCTGCGGATTGCAGATCCAAGGCCCTCCTGTAGCTGCAGGAGGCCTCCTCGTTGCACCCAAAGTGTTCTGAGATCAGACCACTGCACAAGTGGCTCCGCGAGTCTTCCGAGCCGAATTCCCTGCTGAAGTTTATGGCAACCTTGGCCTTCTCAAGATTCTTCCCCCCGTTCTTCCCCAAGGCTTCCAAGGCGTAGCACTTGTTGGCAAAGGGCGTGTTGCTCAGGCGTTGGGCGTACTCGAAAGTTTCGGAAGCGTTGAAGGTCCCGTCCATGGAGCATCTCAGGACCCCCTCGCACTCCCACGCCGCGGGGCAGTTGGGCCTGTGAATCCTGGCTGTCTGCAGGCACTGCTGAGCGAGGTCCGCGGCCCCCTTGCTCAGGTAAAGCGAGGCGAGGCCCACCCAAGTATCGGCGTTCGAGGGGTCCAGCTGGAGAGACCTCGCGAAGCAGTACTCCTTCAGCTTGGGCTCCGAGCCCTCGGCGACCAAGCCCATGGCGGCCCACAATGCGGCGTCCTTCGAGTTCACAGAGAGCCCCCTGAGCGCGTTCGCCCTGGCCTTGTCCGCGCACCCGCCCTCCTCCCCCGCGAGGTAGAACGACAGGGCCAAGTCATGCCAGCACTTTGACGAGAAGGGCGTGGAGTGGAGAACCTTGGCGTAGGCTCTCCTGGCTCGTTTGGCCAACCCCGACTTGCTTTGGTTCCGCGAGAGCTTCACCCTCTCGATGTTCAGGTCGCCCACGAGCTTCCAGTAGGTCGAGCTGGCTGCGGCTTTCAAGTGCTGCCCCCCGCGGGTCGACTCCAGCAAGTGCAGGGCCTCCCCGACCAATTTGCCAGCGGAACCTCTCGCCCCGATCCTCGTGTGCTTCCTTGACTGGTTCAGCAGGCTCTTGCAGGCTCCGGAGGAAACCGGTGGCACGGTCTCCCCCAGGGAGTCCTGGGAGAGGAGATCCTCGGCCCCGCGAAACATGCGGAGGGAGACCTGGTGGTCCAGCAAGAATTCAGAGTAGATCTTCCCCAGCTGGATCATACTAAAAGCGCTCTTGGGATTGACGGACTCCAAGACATGCTCATAAGCCTTGATGGCGGATTGGTACCTCTTGGTCTCCTGGTAGCACAGGGCGAGACCCTCCCAGCACTGCTGCTTGGCGTCCTCCCCGAAAAAAGGGTCTTGCTTAGCCGCTCGAATCGCCTTTTGGAAAACGGGAAGGGCCTGCTGGTACTGCCTCGTCTCGACCAGGGCGAGGGCCAGGGGCTTGAGAGCCCACCGCATCACTTCCTCGTCGTACTTGCTGTCGTCCAGAGCTTGGTTGCACAGCTCGATGGCCTCCAAGGTCTGCCCCCCCTCGTGCATCAGCAGGCAGGCCTGCCTTCCCGCCCCAACCCGCTTTGGGGAGACGCTCAAGGCCCTCCTGTAGCATCTCAGGGCTCTCGCCTTGTCCTTGGCCACCGCCCCGTAGAAATCCCCCAGCCTCCTAAAGGCCTTAGAGCGCACCTCCTCGAGCTCCGAGACGTCGTTCGGGGGCGCCCCCGCCCCGAGCTCCGCCCCCGAAGCTGCTTTGAGAAAGCTGGTGTAGGAGAGGGAGCGATCCTCCCTGAACCGCCCGCCCCTGCGCCAGTAGGCCTTGCCCAGGCGGTACCTGTCCTTGCTGGAGGACTGGCCCCCCCTGGCCGCCCTCTCCAGGAGCTCGCAAGCCTCCTCTTCCCTCCCCCCGAGCTTGTGCAGGCACCAGCCCAAGTCCGAGAGGGACCTGTGGTGGGAGGAGGCCACGCCCGCGAGGACCCCGCTGGCCTCCTCCCACCGCCCCAAGGCCATCAGGGCCTTGGCCAGGCACCGCTTCGCCAGAAGGCCAAAGGGAGTGCCGGCAGCAGTGCACGAGCCCTGGAGCAGGGCCACGGCCCCCTCCCACCTGCCCGTGGTGCACAGGAGCATGCCCCTGTGCACCCTCTGCAAGGCCGGGACGAGGGGCGACGAGGGGGAGAAGCAGGACGAGGCGCTGCTGGGGGTGGAGATGGACTTGTCGATGCACTTGAGCGCCTTTTCCGGATCCCTCTCCGCCAAAATCTGGGAGAGGGCCATCCAGTGCAACGAGGAGACCTTTTCGGGGTCCGCCTTGGCGCACATGGCTTGGACTCGCCTCCTCAGCACTCGGGCGAGGAAGTTGGGAGTTCCGGGCGACGTGGAGGTGTACGACCTTTCCTGCAGCGCCAGCCACGCGACGTTCAGCCACGACTCGTCCAGCCAAGGACGGCGGTGCGCCAGCTTGAGAAGGAGCTTCCTCAGGCCTCGGCTCACGGGCATGGCCGGGTACCGCCCCTCCGAGACGAGGTCGATGGGGTTGCTGGGTGGCGGTCCAGCGGAAAGCGAAGCGGCCAAGATCTCCGTGGTGAACTGGTCCTCCTCAAAGTCGCGGACGAGGGTCTCGGCCACCCGCTTGGCGCGATCCCCCGGCCGGAGTCCGCGGAGGTACCGCCGGTGGTACTCGGAAGCGCTCCCCGGCGGCCCGCTCTCCGTCCTGTCGTACACCTCCCCCAGGACCTCCAGGCCCACTTCCAGCCCAGCTCCCTCGCAATAGTCGCAGTACCCCTTGAGCGCCCTCAGCCGCAGGTCCCCCTCGAGATCTGTCTTGACGACTGCCGCCCTCCTGGCCTCCCTCACGAGGTCCTCGGGCGCCCTCGCCCTCTCCAGGAAGGACCAGAACGACTCGAGGAGGGAGTACCACTTGGCATGGTGGTGAGACAGGGAGCTCAGCACGTTCTGAAACGCCTCGGCGACGACCGAGACGACGGAGGAGGAGTCGGAGGAGGAGGGCAAGATCGAAGAGGCCTCGACGATGCCCTTCCACGCCCGCAGGGATCCCTCCTCCTCGAACCTGGTCGCCTCCTTGTACGCCTTGATGGCCTTTCGGCCTTCGTTGAGAAGGAACTGACTCTTCCCGAGGTAGATGAGAGCGTCCGGGTTGTCCCTGCCCTCCTTCGTCTTGAGGAACCCGACGCAAAGGTCCGCCGCGGACGCGGCGTCCCCCTGGGCGAGCGCCCGCAGGGCCTCCTTCAAGGCCTTCTCCTTCTCCTTCTTGGAGGAGGAGGAGGAGGACGCCATGGCGAAGGCGAATGGATTTGGATTTGGATGGATTTGGATGTGGATGTGGATGGGGGGAACACGGACGAGGAGGAGCAAGGAGGAGGAGGAAGGAGGTGTTCCGGGTGTATTTTTGTTGTATGTTACAATGTGTATGTTGGATCGTCGTTTACCGAGGAGTAGTGCTTCTCTTGATGGGGCTGAGGGGGTCGTCGATGGAGTCGGAGAGGAACTGGATCCAGAGCTCTCCGAGGGAGGATTCTGACTCGGGGACTTTGGCCTGGCCGATGGCGTTGCCGGCCATGGACAACGGGGCCTTGACGATGGAGATGGGGACGTTGGCTACGGTCCCGAGGACCCCCTTCGTCGCCAGCTGGTGTATCTTGGCCTTCTCCTCGTCCGTGAAGCCGAGGATCCCGCCCATCACCTCCATCACCTCCCACTTCCTGCCCTTCTCAAGGTAAGTCGTCAGGAGCTTCACCACGATCCTCCGGTCGATCTGGTGGTCCTCGTCCTGCGACGAGTTGGACCCCTTGATCTGCTCCAGGCACTCTTGCAGGGCCTGCCTCAGCTTCATGTTCTCCTGCTTGAGGCCGATGGACTCCTGGAACATGGCCTCCTTGCCCTCCCTCGCCCTCTCCGCCTCCCTCCTGAGGGCCTCGGACGAGTCGGCGCTCGAGGCCCTCTCCTCGGCCGCCGCCTTCAAGTCCGCCACCAGGCCCGCCACGCGGGACTCCAGCTTCTGGATCTCGCTCCTGTACTTGCCGCACATCTCGCTGTCGGCGGTCAGCTGCCCCAGGGCGGCCTGCAGGTTCAGGATCTCGTAGCTCTTCGAGTCCACGGAGGCTTTCATGGCCAGAAGGTCGGACCTGAGCGAGTCCACCAGGAGGTCCTTCTCCGCCAGAGAGCTGAGCGATTCCTCGAGGTGGGTGGCAATTTGGTCGTCCTGGTCGTCCTGGAGGTCCAGCAGCCGCTGGCGGAGGTCCGCCAGCTGAGAGGTTTGGGAGGCCAGCTGAGAGGACAGGGACGAGATCACGGCCTCCTTCTCCGCGACCAGGTTCTTCCAAGTCGTCTCCCTTAGGGACATCTTCCCGTTCAGGTCCAACAGGCTGCGCTCCAGCTTGTGGATGACGTCCTCAGCAGCAGCAGCAGCATGATTATCATGGGGAGGAGGAGGAGGAGGAGGAGGCTCTGGAGAAGATGGAGAAGAAGGTTCTGGTGGTTCAGGTGCTGGTGGTGGAGAAGGTTCTGGTGGTTCAGGTGCTGGTGGTGGAGAAGGTTCTGGTGCAGGTGCAGGTGCTGGTGCAGGTGCTGGTGGAGCCCTCTTGGCCGCCCGAATGCGTTCGAGGAGCTCGTGCTGCCTCGTGGCGCGGCTCTTGTCCCTCTCCAGCCTCTCCTTCAGGGAGTCGAGCTTCGAAGCCGACGACGAAGAAGCGGTGGCGCGCTCCGGTGGTTCCACCAGCGGTGCGGAAGAACCCGGGAGCGAGGGGCCTGGGCCCTTGTTCCTCCTCTCTATTTTGTACTCCCTCTCGTTCTCCATGACCTCCGTGGCCAGCTCCTTCGCAATAGTCGTGACATTGCTGGCAACGTCCGTCACCTTGCCTGCCAGCTGGTGGAGGTTGCTCCGGAGAAACATGGGGGCCAGGGCAGGGGGGGCGAAGCTCCTCCTGCTGCTCACGCTCTGCCCTCGCCGTGGCCCGGGGCCCGGGGCAGCTGCTCGTCCCAGGACACGATATATGTACGCCTTCCATTCATTTCTCACCATCTGACAGAGACCCCAACACGGGGATTACTACTCACGTCAGACATACTTGGGATATGCCTCAGTCCATCGAGGATGGAGGTGCTCCTCTTGGAGTTCTTCATAGTCAGAAAAGTTAAAGACATCCCGACTAGCTCAGCAGGTTAGAGCGTCACGCTAATATGCATGCATCGAGCATCGATCCATGAGATACGTGAAGGTCAACAGTTCGATCCTGTTGTTGGGAACTAGGGTTCGAATCCCCACCGAGGAGGCGGCGAAACAACAGCCGCCTCTCCTCTTGCTCCGCGAGACAATGGTTCGGTGAGAGACGTTAGTTATAGAAGGATCACAACGAGATCGTAACGGCGGAGGACGGCGAGGTGTGTGACCTGGCGGAGCTGGAGAGAGAAAGAGAGCCGCCGTAACGCCAGAGCCGCGAACGAGGCGGCCGACGAGTGGGGACGAGAAGACCACGACCAGAGAGAAAGCGATGAGTTACCTCCTGGAATACTCCGGCCGCGGGTTGCTTGCCGACGAAGAAGAGGAGACTGACGAATACTGGGTCGTCATGTGAAGAAGGGGCTGGTGGCGCCACCCCGGCCGCGGTTCTCCAGGTGGGTGGCGCCCAAGGATGGCGGGTGGCGCCCAAGGATTGTGGTGCCAATGTCTCTGTCTTCACCCACTTGCAGGGCAGCGGGCAGCCGTGCGGCAAGCCTGGACACCAACGCTTGCACAGTGGCCATGGCGACCTCCGCGGGACCTCATAGGGAGCGGGAGATGGCCGCCATCGAGGAGAACGTGGATCCGACGACGCTTCTCAATGCGGATGGACTTATTGCCTCTCTTCGCTTCGCAGACGAATTAGCTGGCGCGCCGCCCACCCTTGCACGCGAGGGTACACGGGCGGAGCGAACTCGCGAGCCTGAGGAGCTGACCCTGGTCCGCGTGGTCCGAGGCCGTGGCGGAGTCCACCTGGAGCGCGTTGAGGGCTTGAAAGAACTGACCCACTGCATCGTCTTCCTCCGCGAGTCCCTTGCGCGGGAGGGGCTTGGGAACAAGCTCGCTGGTCAGGCGGCCACGATCTCAAGCGCGTTGCTCGGCAAAGATCTTCCTAAACAGGTGAAAGCATTTCGTTTCGTGGAGCTTGGGACCGCCAGCCGCTCGCGATGCCTCAAGGACCGCAAAGTTCTTACGAAAGCTCTTGCCCTTGCGAAGGAGAAGGGCGAGCCTTGCGCGCTTCTTGTAGCTGCCTTGTCGCGATTGTCGAGACGGCCACAAGCTTACAAGGACCTCGACTACCTTGCTGAGCGCGCAGGGCAGGCCTCTATACTGGCGTGCATCCCGACGTCCCATGCAGCAGCTTTGATTGGGGAGGAAAAGAAAGAGGAGCTCAAAAAGTACATGAGCAAGGCTGCAAGCACCTCGGACGGGCACGCCGTGTACTCGGCGTCGCACTACGTGCTCAAGTTCGGCGCCACCCGTTGTTCTGTAGCATCGGACCAGCGCACTTCTGAGGAACTTTGTCTCCTCGTCGAACACGTCGAGCACGTCCTGAGGCACAAGCTGGAGAATCTGGAGAAGCCGGGGGAGCAGAAGCACGGGAAACCCCTTCTCCTCGTATCTTCTTGGAAAGCGCTTTGTGGAGCAACGGGCGAGTGATCTCGTCCGCGCATGGAAGAACCAACCCACAGTTCGTGTGCTCGTCGCTGCTTGTTCCATCACGGAAGCGAACTACGACGTCATTCTTCGCGAGGAGCACATGGAGTTCCTGGAGACCTACAGGCAATACTGCCACGTTCACTCCGTGAGGGACGAGTTGTTTGAAAACCGTGATGGACACGGCTTGGATGAAGACGCATTGAGCAGAGTCTTTGAGTACTTTGCGGATGCACTAAAGGGAGAACATGTCGATGTCGTGTTTGAGAATGAATGTTTCCCAAACACGGCGATCTCTGTGACTCAAAAAGATTTCTTCAAATGCTCCTGCGCTGATAAATGCTCTCGCAAGTCGTCCAGGACAACAGGCACCGCGAACACCGCTCCAGCACATACTCGATGCCTTTGTGCTTGTGACATGTGCAAGAGGAGTCGTCCTTGCATTCTGGTGGACAGCGACGCCAAGGACGGCGGGGAGAGGGAGAGAGAGCTTCGCAAATTCGATGCCGCCGCATGTCCCTGTGGACCTTGCAGCAGCAGTCCCTTGAGCACTGGCACGAAAAGGAAGACACAGGCCAAGACCAACACGAAAGGGAAGAAGAAGACCAAAGAAAGGAAGCTGATGGAGGAGCTTCCTCAAGTTCCTACTACAGACGGTACTCAAACCCTGCGCTGCATCTGCTGTGATGCTTTTCGTCGCCCTGAGTGCCCCTTGGTCAAAACAGGAGCTCTGACCCCGGTTCCTGGGGAGGAACGTGATCGAGCTGGGCACAATCCCAATTACCTCTTGTCGAACTGGTGCTGGTACTGCCATCGTTTCATATTCAAAAGCGGCTTTAACCAGTGGTGTTCGTTCGGATGCTTCTTGAAAGCGACGGAGTCTGTCGACAAGAAGGAGCTTTGGGACATGAGCAAGGAAATTGGCATGACACAACTGAAGAACACGATTGGCTTCTGGTTTTGTGTTCCGTGTACAAAGAAACCTGAGTCCGAGAAAGCCTTGATCGAGAAGATCCCCTCGATCCCCTTGATCCCAACCAAGGGTTCAAGGGGCTTGAGGTGCTTGTCCTGCAGTCATAACGATTGCAAAATCGGCAAGGGGTACGAGGAGAACGCAGAAGGAGGCGGCGTGAACGTTGGCTCCGGCCGGCTGGAGTCCGAGAACAGAAAGGCCAAAGAGGTAGTGATCCGGCATCCAATGCTCGTCAACATGATGCTACAGGACTCCTAAGCCGATCCTAAAGACTATCCTAATCCTAATCCCCCAAAAGCAATCCTAAAGCTGAAATATTCTATCCTCCTCCACCACACTATGTATGTCTCCGTTGACCGCCGGCACATCGTTCGTTCGTTCGTTCGTTCCATCCTAAAAACGTCGTTCAGGTGACCTTCCTTCCACGATCATGGAACTTCGCATCAACAAACGAAACTCGGGGAGAGACAAGATTCGGTGAGGGACTTGCAGAGTGTCTCCGCTGGACGCATCTCGCAATTCCAGGAGCTAATGAGCAAGAACACCGCGTTACTATTGTTACTTCTGTTGTTACTACTATTGTTACACAATCCCAATCCAATCCAACCCAAACGCCATCACCTCTACCTCCCCTCCCTCCCCAATCCCTTCAGCCTTGAGAATACATTGTAGTCCTTCCCGGGAGCCACTCTCTCGAAGCTCCCCACGTGACGGGGCTTCTCGCCGTACTGGCGGGGCCTCCGACCCCCAAGGATGGACTTGAGGTCAGAATTAATCGCATTCTTCTTCTGGTCCTCATCTGCGACCCAGTCTCTCCAGTCACGTCCCTTGCCTCTGACCACCTCTGACCTCTTTTGGCCTCTTGCCTCCGACCTCTCGACTATCTTTCGCTGGACGATGTCCAGCAACGCTTTTCTGTCGTATTGGCACGGGTCGACTAGCCTCAGAACGTCGCAGATGAGCTGCTTCTTCACGTGCTGGTCCAGGGGCGTCTGGATCCCGAGGGAAGGCGAGGCGTTGACCTCGAGGAGCCACACCTTGAGGTTGGCGTCCAGCATGACATCGAAGCCAAAGAGCTCAAAGCTGTTGGGCTGGAAGGGTATTTTGCCCTGGGCGCTGAAGAGGGCGGCGAGCACGACCTTTCTTATCTTCTGCCACAAACCGTCCCAGTTGATCTCGTAGTCCTCGAGCTTCGCCTTGAGGTACGCCAAGCTGCGCTTCGAGCCTCCGGGGAGAGACAGCAAGGGGTCGTCGCTGATCATGGGCCCCAAGCAGTCCGGCAAGGCAAAGTCGGGGTCGTTGAACAGCTTCTGCTGCACGGAGGAGTTGGTCAAGTGCACGTACTTGTCCTGCATGCTCTCCCTGTCGGTGGAGTAAGGGACCGAGCAGAATCGCGCGAAGCCCTCCTTGTAAATCCAAGCCTCGAGGGGGTTGAAGCAGGTCACTAAGACGTACAACCTCAGGTCAAACTTGTGCTGGTGGATCAGCAAGGGGTTCGAGACGTATTTTTGGACGACGAAGGCCTCCCCGTACTCGACTTCCTCGATGCTGTTGATGAGAAAGATGCCCCTCCCCCTGGAAGAGCTGACCGGCTTCATGATCCACGTGTTCTCGCTCCCGTAAATGATCTTTGGCTTGGCGTTCTTGCCCTTCTTGTCCTTGGGGTCCGGCTTCTCAAACGTGATGCTCTCGCTGAAAGCGTTGCAGAACTGCACGTACTCCTGAGGCAGGGAGAAGGTGCGGGGCATGATGTCAAAGAGCTTGTAGACGCTGCGGTCGGGCTTGAACAGCGACTTGCAGTAGGCCAAGTTCTTCTTCAAGATGTCCTTCCGGGTCAGCTGGTTGGCGCCAGGATAGTGGTTGACCCGCTGCCAGATGTTCAGATCCTGGCGATTCACCTTGGGCTTGGAGGACCAGGACCACAGGATATTCCAATGGGGATTCTCTGCATCCGAGACCATGTCCTCGTGCCAGTCCCCGATGGTGTGACACGAGGCCGTGACGAGTTTGTACACCTCGGGCTTGTCATCCGTGACCTTGTATACCATCTGCGCCCCCGCAACAACCTCGTCCTCACGCCCCGGATCCTCCGCCTGGCCGTTCACAAACGCACCGGACTCTTGGGTCGCCTTCAACCTGCTCTGAAACCCTCTGAGCCAGCCGTACAGCCCTCCCCTGAACCTCTCGAAGAAAGACAGGAGATCGCTGTCCGTGTAAGGCGCTTTCGTTTGGACCTTCTTTGGTGGGGGCTTGCTGGAGCTGGGGCTCTTTCGGGCGGAGAACGGTCGACCTTGGCTGAGCTTCTCCTCCCCAATGAACCTTCCAAAGATTTCCTCGAACTTTTCATACATGGCAGCATAGTTGTAGTCCTGCTTCTTCGGCGATTCCGCGGGCGCTTCCTGCTTTGCGCCTTGACCCGCACCGCCAGGCTCTGACTTGCTCTCGAACAGCTGGCTGCCATTGCCCCTCGATGGCATGAACCTCGGGGAGCTTGGTGGCGAAGGATCAGGAGTACCGCCCCAAGCGGAGACTCCGTTGTGCGCGCTCATCGGCCTGATCCACTCGCTGAGCGGGTTGTTCGTCTCAAGCGAAGGAAGATCTGTGATCGTCAAAGAT